CAGGGCCACGAAGGATGGGTCACCCAGATTGCCACCACACCAACTTATCCCGACATGATTTTGTCCGCCTCTAGAGGTTTGTTAATTATTTGGGAATATATAAAATGGCTGTTTTTCATCATTTTTATTGTCTTTTTAATAATAAATCGTTTAAATGTTTAATGCGTTGCTTATCAGCGAAAAAATTTATGCAAACAGAATAAACAACCCAAATCTGTTATTCAAATATTTTTAATATTTACTAAAAATAATTATCAGACAAGAAACTTATCTGTTGGAGACTGACTCGTGATGATGGCAGGTATGGATACCCACAGAAGGCTCTTCATGGACACGGCCATTTTGTATCTGATGTGGTCCTCTCATCTGATGGACAATTTGCTCTTTCTGGATCATGGGATAGCACCCTTCGTCTTTGGGATTTAAGCACGTTGGTATTTTTACTTTATATTTTATTTTTTAATTATATGTTTTTTGCTTGTTTGTTTAGTATTTGAGTTTAGTCATCTTCATTTAGAGACAATTTATTTTAGCTAAACTGGTCCTTCAAATTTTAGTGGGCAGACGACTAGGCGCTTTGTCGGCCACACAAAGGATGTCTTAAGTGTTGCTTTCTCTGCTGATAATCGTCAGATTGTTTCAGGGTCAAGAGACAAGACCATCAAACTGTGGAACACATTGGGGGTGTGCAAGTACACCATTCAAGTTAGTACAGAGTTGTATTTTTTATAAATAGTTTATTGGATATTAATTATGACGTTTTAGTTTTTTTCTAATTTTTCTGTAATTTTCTGATTTCTATCTAATTTAATATTTGAGAGGTTAGATTTGATATCCTGGTTTGATGGTGAGAGATTTTGCACATTTGTTAGATTGTTTAATTCCATCCTTTAATAAAATCACAAAAATGATGATAGAAGGCCACTTAATTCACATTACATGAATGAATAGAAAATGTGTACAAGAGGTCCTGCAATTCTGATTACATTACGTTGATTACATCTGATTGCATTAATATTACTAATAGTTATTGCATTGGATTATTTGTATTGGATCATAATAAATAACCATTCGTATTAATTGTATTTAATTATAGATTTATAATTATTTTTAACAGGAAGATTGCCACACTGGATGGACGTCGTGTGTTCGCTTCTCTCCTAATACACAAAATCCATTGATTGTCTCGTGTGGTTGGGACCGTATTGTGAAGGTGGCCGTTATTTTTTATTTATTTTTTTGGTTTGGTTAATTTTGTCAACTAACTGACCAATCATAATTCACTGGCTAACTGACTAACTAGCCTATTAAATTGATTTTTCCTAGGTGTGGAACCTGACAAACTGCAAACTGAAGACTAACCATCACGGTCACAGCGGTTACCTCAACACAGTCACCGTATCTCCTGATGGTTCTCTCTGCGCTTCTGGCGGAAGAGTTAGTTGTCTGACTTTCATTCTCTCTCTTCTTTCCATGATCTCTCCTATTCTTTGATTGTTCTTTCCATGTACACCTTCACAGTTTCTATCCTACATCACCTATCCTGTTTATTCTTATATTTTATAATGATTATGTATGAGGTAGTGTTAATTGCATGGCAAGAATGATGATAAGAGACCACTTACATTCACAATTGTATGAATATTCAACGTGTGTACAAGAGGTCCTGCAATGCTGATTGCCATCGTGTTTAATACTGCTTCATAATTTTTTAAGATTATTTACCGTTATTTCTTAACATTTACTTATTACTATATTTTAACTTTGTAGTATTTCTTGCTGAGAGTTAGTTCTTTGCTTATAGCTCTACACGCACACACACACACACATATATATAGGATATATGTATAAATATATTATAGTTATAATTGATTTAATATTAACAGGATAGCCAAGCAATGTTGTGGGATTTGAATGAAGGCAAGCACTTGTATACATTGGATGGAGGCGTCGACACCATTAATGCCCTCTGCTTCAGTCCCAACAGATACTGGCTTTGTGCTGCCACTGGACCTAGCATTAAGATTTGGGTTAGTTGATTGGCTGGCTGGCAAATGGATGAGGTACATTTATTGGTTGGTTGGTTGGTTGACAGATAAGAAGTTGGATTGGTTGGTTGATTGAGTGAGTAAGAAGATTGATTGGCTGGAAGGGGATTTTTTGATTGACCAAATATTTTAAATTTGCTTGGTCTGTGTCCTTACTACTAGAACTAATTTTAAATGCTTCTTGTTTCTCTACGTACTTCGTTAATAATAATTATTATTATTTATAATAATTATCTGTAATTAAATCACGTATTTTTTAGGATTTGGAAGGTAAAGTGGTGGTAGATGAGTTGAAACCTGAACTGATCAACACCTCAAAATCTCCTGATTGCCTGTCCCTGGCCTGGTCTGCTGATGGCCAGACACTGTTTGCTGGTTACACAGATAAGCTTATCAGAGTCTGGCAAGTTTCTGTCACCGCCAGGTAGATGGCAGTAGTGCTTTTAATAGTTGAAAATATGAAGAGATAGATTGCTGCAAACAATATGTTGATGTCAGTTATTAATTATATTTGGCCAACTGATTGTTGTCTAATAGTTGGCGAGATATGGAATTTTGAAAAGTAAGAAAAATGAAGAAAAAAGTTTTTTGTTTGTTTGTGTTGTTTTCATTTTAAATATATTAAAACATAAATTACAATTTTCCACAAATTTATTTTAGAAAAATACGATAAATAGTGTATTCGTAAACTACACAAAACAATACATTTAATAGACGAATGTTCACCTTGTAGAAGAAAATTTGATTTAGGGTACAAATGGGACTTATGTACGTATATAGGTACGTAATTTGTATATATATATATATATATAGCGACTGATTTTTAAAATGTAATCATTTTTTATGTAGCAACATTTATATATGGCGAGAAAAGTTCTTGGAAAATAAACTGAAACATTGTAGCATTCGTACATAACATGTAAATATGTATATATATATGTATGCAGGTGGTATATAACGCAAATGTATGTGTACAGAGAATGTATAAGACTATATATACATACATTTTGTATATATATATAACTAGTCTGGCATACCAGTAAATATATGTGATGTGACATTAAACAGTACTAACTAATTAGCAATGATGTTAATGTATTAGTATAATTACTTTTAGCAATAATATACGTTGTGATTTAACTGTGATGATTAGTGAATGAATTAGCGGGAAATTATTTCTACGTAAGTAAACTTGCCTATATATATATAAAAATGTATATGAACCAAAATTTTTGTTAAGATAATGTGTGTGTATGTATGTATGTAATATGAGTTTTTAAATCTAGCCTATATCGTCAGTTCAATCTAGAGAACATAGAGTTCCACCAGCTTTGAATCAATTAAGATTAATAAATTACACATCAGTCATGAAGACAGCTTTAAAATGAGATTTGCACCTACAATGTATGGCCCCAGTAAAAGAATACCAAGAAAGTAGGTTGTAAAATTTATAAAAAAAAAAACTTGAACTAACCTATAATTACATGTTAAGTGGATGCAAAGACAAACGAGAATATATGTGTGGATATTGGAATGTTTATAACTAAACTACAAAACAACAAAATAAGAATCATAATAAGAGAGTAAATAATACAGCATGAATAATAATAAACTCGCTTTTGATCGGATGGTTGGTTACCTATTCAGATATATATCATCTAAACGTATTTTGAATTAACCTATAATTACATATAAATGTGAAAATACATTCAGTAAGTAATTAGTGGTAGTAGTGGTGGGTAATAGAGCGGTGAGAATTAGCTCTTAAAGAATCTGTAAACATACAAAAAGATATATACTTCAACAGTAGTGCAACTACTACGAATACAATTATCTATTGAGAATTGATTTTTAAATAAATAAACCAACAAAAAAAATAGTCAATTCAACTAATTAATTAATCGATTAACTGATTAATTAATTAACAAATAAATATATAAATAAAAATGGTTAAAGAACCAAAAAGAAGTCACTATCGAAAAGTATAAATCCCAAAAGGTCAATTAGTAACTATCACGTAATAATAAATAAAATATAAACAATAATAATATAATAATTATTATTAATAATAATCATATTATTATTATTTATTATTATTATTATAGCTACCCTTAATATGACAACGGCAAAAAAAATTATTTCCTAACACGTTAAAACGATCGAACAAAGCACGTACGTATTATGTATCACAAACAACAACAACAACAATGATAACAATAAGAAAAATAAAAATAACAAAAATAATAATTATAGCAATAATAATAAAAATAATAAGATAAACAAAACACTTATAAATTTAAAAAAAAACAGAAATAAAATTAAAAGGTTCTTCTCCGCCGAAACCGAAATTCTAGAAAAAGGAAAACGAAACCAAAAAAAACCCTTTCTTCATTCTTACAACAAGGACAACAACAACAACAACAGTGATAAAAATGAAAACAATTGTAACAAAAATAACAACAATAATAATAATAAACTAATGATAATAGCAGTTATAAATTCTGCAACGGATGGGTGGTAATATTAGTCGAGACGACGTTCCTGTTGAGTTTTTCGTACATCTCAACAAAAATATTTTGAAACTTCTTCCTCAAGATGGGCCTCTTGGTCTTCATCGTCGGAGTCAGTAGGCCATTCTCAATGGAAAACTTTTCAGGGTGAAGATGGATATCTTTTACCTGTTTGTGTGCGTGTGTGAGAGAGAGAGAGAGAAATGAGAGAGTATGTATTGTGTGTGTGTGAGAGAGAGAGAGAGAGAGAGAGAAAGGAAAGAGTATGTGTTGTGTGTGTGTGAGCTTGTTTGTGAGTGTGTGTTTGAACATGTGTGTGCATGTATGTTTATCTTCCATTTTGAGTTTTTTCTGTATTTCTTTTACAATTAATGAATTCGCAGAACTTTATTACCAACGATTAATGAATTATAAATTTTCTTATACTGTCAATATAGTTCAATGCGATGTAATTGTCTTAACGTAAACGTTCTGATGTAATCCTTACAATGTAATATTACTCTAAAGAAAGTGTGATTTTTGTAATATTTAGTTGATATTTAAATTTAGTTAATATTTAAATTTAGTTAATAGTTAAGAATAAAAAATTGAATTTAAAAGTAAGAAATATAAACCTGTTCAAATCCCTTCAGGCCAGCTTTCTTGCCCCTCTGCAACATGTCCGCATGAATCATTTTTCTGATCTCCTATATTACAATTTTTACATCTTTATTCATTCTTCATTGAAAGAGAGAGCGAGAAATAAATAGAGAGGAATGGAGAGAAAGAGTAAAAATGAGAGAGAGATGGGGGAAGAAAGAGAAAGAGAGAGAGAGAGAGAGAGAGAGATGGGGGGCTAAAAAGGAAACCTCATTCTTGCAGAACTGCTCCATATTACAGATCTTAATGGGGCAGATGGTCTTAGAAGTTCTGCTGTCCCTCTCAGCCAATCTCTTCAATGCATCTTCATCAGGCACGACTACTGCTAGCGGGCAGAACTGCCAGAACAGACGCAAATACACACAACATACAAAACATATCAAATACAAATACAACAAACATACCAGATACAAACACATCAAACATACCAAACAAACAAATATACATACATACAAAGAATACCGGATGAGAGCATACAAACCAATCCACGCACATACAACACAAACATACAAAAACACAAATCATACAAAAAAAACACCAACAGCACGCACAAAGCAAGGCAAAGAAGAAGCCAACAAAACTTACCAATCACATACGACACAAATGGTACACAAAAGATACAAAATGATACACAAGAGATATACAAAAGATACACAGACGAGTACCTGCAAGCTATTACCGTCGACAAAGACCTGACATATGAGAGGGCTCATGGCGTAAATGTTTTCAATTTTCTCGGGAGCCACATACTCACCTTGAGCCAGCTTGAAAACGTGCTTTCGTCTGTCAATTATCCTCAAGTTGCCATTCTGGAAATTAATTAATTAATTAATTAATTAGGTCAAATAAATGGGTTAATTAAATGGGTTAATTTAATGGGTTAATTAATTGATAGATAGTGATTGATTGGTAGATAGTTATTTTCACACACACACACACACACACAAACACACGACACAGCCACACACACACAGCAACAGACAGACACACACACACACAAACAAACAAACATACGCAGTATGATGTGAATTGGAAACCAAAAAATCAATACTCATTAACATATCTAGAATTTAAATTACTATACTATTACTACATTAACACAAAAATAAGTACAACCACTACTGCTACTACTACTACTACTACTACTGCAGCCGCCGCTGCTACTACTAAAGCTGCCAATACTTCTACTTCTAACACTAATACAGCTACTACTACTTCTAGCACTACTGCTGTTGTCGGTACTACAGCCACTGACATAAAACTACAAAAACGCAATAGGATAGAAGACAATTGATGTATGAAGAAACAAAGCAGTACAACAAAAAAGCATACAAATAAACGTATAAAAAGATACAAAAAGCATACAAAACTATACAAAAACATACAATTCAACGTGGAGAACAAAGCAAACAAAACGAAACATTAGAAACAACATACAAGACATTACAAAAATCACACAAAAAAACACCAAGTACAGAAATTGTATAAAACAATACCAAACATACAAAAACACAGAGTAATACAGAAAAATACAATTTAAAAAGATACAAGAAAACATACAAAACAATAAAAAACAACATACAGGTAGCCACATTCCAACATCCCCTGTATGAATGTAGCTATCTTCATCAAGTGTTTCCCTCGTTTTGATTGGTTCCTTGAAGTATTCACGCATTCTACAGAAACTTTTTATACAAATCTGATTGGTTGGTGGGTTTGTATGTTTTATCTTTGATTGGTTGGTCGGTTGGTTGACTGGTTGACCGTTTAGGTCGGTTGGTTGCGTGTTTAGTTTTTAAATAGCTGGCTGACTGGTTGAATAATTGAATGGTTGGTTTATTGATTAAGTGATTGATTGAATGAATGAATGATTGATTGATTGATTAATTGACAGATAGACAGACAGCAACAGGAACTACAACTGCAACAACAAACACAACGATCATTATCATAACCTCCCCCATGTTATTGATGGCCTTATAGTCGAGATCTGGAATGTCTATCAGCTTTATGTGACAGTTAGGCAGTGGCGGACCAACAACAACTGTTTATTATTATTATTATTATTAATTATTATTATTATTATTAATTATTATTATTTATTATTATTATTATTATTTATTATTATTATTTATTATTATTATTACTCTTATTGTTGTATGCTAAAACTGCTTGTTAATATTACAGCTTCAATTAATTATTCCCCATTTAAAATCGCAACAAATTAAAACAACGAGATGCACCTATAATAAAAATAATAAAAATAAATAATAATAACAGAAATAATTAATAATAGTAATAATTATAATAATAATAATAATAATTATAATGATAATAATAATAATAACCTGTGTCATGTTCATAAGGCAGCGTTAGCATTGTAGCGGCACACAGCTCAGTCTGGCCGTAGCCCTCGTATACCTTATTATTATTATTTGTTGTTGTTATTATTATTATTTGTTATTATTATTATTGTTGTTGTTTTTGCTGTTGTTGTTGTTGAGTTGTTGACGGTGATAACCACAACAATAAATAACAACAACAATGATGATGGCGACAATGGAGACAACGAAAATATCATCGCCGCCATGATCAACAGCAGAACTACAACAACAGTAGCAACAACAACAGCAAAAACAACAACAGCCGCAACAACAACAAAAACAACAACAGTAGCAACAACAGCAGCTGTCGCCACCACCACCACAACAACAGCCGTCACAACAGCAGCCGCCACAACGGCAGCAGTAGCAGCAACACTAACGAAACAGCCAAAAGTGCCTCTGCAAAAATCCATGACAACATCTGAAAGAGGAGCCGAGCCGGATATGCAGACCTTGAGTAGAATGAGTGAATGAATAAATGAATGAATGAATGAATGAATAGATGAATAAGTGAGTGAATGAGTAAATGAGTGAAGGAATAACAAACGGTCAGTCAAAATCAATCATCCAAGCAACCAACCAACCTCTAGACGCCCGCCAAATAGAGTTTGAATTTTGTGAAACATTAGTTTATCCCAAATTGTATTCTTCGTTATGATGCCCCTAACAACAAAAACAACAACAACAATAAAAATAATATAATTATAATAATAATAATAATTAATTATAATAAAATGATGATCCCTGACCTTTTTAACAAGTTCAACTTCCTCTGCATGCCAAAGTTGAACAGCCACCTCTTGATTGGTTTGTTCTCTAAATTTGACATGACCTTTCAAAAAGAAGAAAAAGAAGAGATTAACATCACCATCATCATCAGCAGCATCGTTATCGTCATCATCATCATCGCCATCCTCATCATCATTATCGTCATCCTCACCATCACCCTTATCATCACCATTGTCATCAACATCACCATCATCATCACTACCATCCTTACCATCATCATCACTACCATCATCACCACCACCGCCATCGTAGATACCTTCTCGTACACCCTATTGAGGACACGGGGCACGCACATGAAGATGGTTGGCCTGAGGGCTGCAATGTCATCCAATAGTAGGAGGATGTCCCCACTGCTGAAGCCAATTTGGCCCCCATTTATCATCAGGATGATCTGGAGATGGAGATGGCCATGGTGGTGGTGCAGATGATGGTCATGGTGAAGAAACACGCCGAAACACACCAATAACACGCCGAAAACACACACTCACACATAAACACACAAACAAACACACACACACACACAAACACGCACACACACAAACACAAACACGCACACGCACTCGCACACACAAACACACACAGACACACACCTGATTCATCCTTTCGAACCCGTGGGCAGCAGGAAGATAGGATAGATGAAAATCACCGCACTTCGGAAACAGCTTAGATTCATTGTTAGTAATTTGCTTTTTGAGAGACGAATCAGAGCGAGAGTTTCATACACATTTTGTTTGTTTGTATATTTGTATGTATGTAGGTTGATGTTTGTATGTGTTTGTTTGTGTGTTTGCGTGTGTGTGTGTGTACGTGTGTGTGTGTGTGTGAGTGCATACGTTTGTATGCAGACATGTTTGTATACACGTCTAAAAATAATGCCTTTGTATATTTATGTTCATAGTTTACTTAGTTTGTATTAAATAAATAAGATACAAACATTTATTTATATATTTATGTATATTCATTTTATATCATATTCATATTCATTAATTTTTATACTTCAAGAGTGTACGTTGTTTTAAACATAATGCAAATTTGCATTTCATTCATGTTCACATGCATATGAATTTAAGTTAAATAAAAAAATGTTTTTGAAATCAATTCATTCCTCCGCTCATTCATTCATTCATTCATTCATTCATTCATTCATTCATTCATTCATTCATTCATTCATTCATTCATTCATCAATCAACCAACCAACCAACCAACCAACCAATCAATCAATCAATTAATCAATCAACCAATTAATCGAGTAACCAACTGACTTTATGATGTTGATCATAAGCAAGCAGACCAGATATATTGCAAATTACAGCTTCATGCGTTAAGACAACGCCTTTTGGATCGCCTAAAATGATGATGATGATGATAAATAATAATAATAATAACAATAACACTTTTAATAATAATAATAATAATAATAATAATAATAATAATAACCTGTAGTTCCACTTGTATATGAAATCAGATTTATTGTACTGGGTGTTGGAGGCTAAATGATGATGATTAAAATAATGATGATGATGATGATGATGACGACGATGTTGAAGGTGCTGATGACGATGTTGACAATGATGATGATAATGATGAGGACGATGATGACAATGATGATGAAGATGATGGTAGCATAGATGAAAAAAATACACAATAGCTACTAACAACAAGATCAACTCTATTCCTCAAGCCAATTTGCTGGAGTTTTGAGGAGGAAAAGAAGTTAATTAATTATCAATAGACAAGCCAAATAAGAACACACACACACACAACAACAACAAAAACACGCCAAACTTAAACACACACGCTCCAACATTCCCACACAAGCTTTCACCAACTAACTAACCAACATCTCGATGAAAGAAACAATCTCGACGCCGAACTTCTCGGCCGTCTCCAGAACATTCTTCGACAGAGAATCAGCGTCTGCAAAGTTAGCCAAATCAGGGGAACTGGAAAAGTGTTTTGAAACTCTGACAGAGTCCTTCAGGCTCATATGAAAATCCTTATTAGTGATTATTATTAATCTTTTCAGGGGAGTGGCAGTCCGTGATTCGGCCTGCTTCAAACCGTTCAGGATCAGGTTCGCTTTTAGCCATCCTTCGCAGACTACTGTCGTCATCTCGGCTGCAATTCGTGGTCATTTGGTTTGGGAGGCGTGTGGATATGGATATTTACATAATTTATTCAAAATTATCATATGCATGTATAATTAATTAGCTATTAATCATATGTTTGTGTCTGAGTTTATACAATTGCTTACATTTACATTGTACAGAAATACGTGTGTAAATTAAGTTAAGTAGACGGAGAATTTTCCATGAACACACCCTCACAAAAACACACAGACATTAAGATACAGACAAACAAAGACGCGCGAGCACACAGAGACACACATACATACTTTGGTTAATGATATACTGGCAGGCTTCAGGTCCCAAAGTGTCATACAGAGGAACCAGAGCCATACTAAACATAGAGCATGTTTCTGATGTTATGTTCCACTGAATGAATGAATGAATAAATGAATGAATGAATAAAAAAATAGACGAATAAACAATAGAATGAAGTAATAGATGAATGAAAAATATAGGAGTAGAAAAAATGAATAAACTGACTGACAAAAGGAACCCTAAAATGTCTGACCCAACAAGCAAATGAATAAAGCACAAACACAATAGCAGCACCACACAAACTCGCACCACACAAATACATGCAGCAGCAGCATCATCAGCAGCAGACCTCAACACAGTTGTGACTGTATATGCCAATGACAGTGGAATCTTCAGGCTTCAGGCCTTTGTATATCAGAGCTGAACCAAAATCTTGACACAACTCAAATATCTATGAGGAAAAATATAACTACATTATTTAGCATATGAAATGTAATTAATTATTATCATTAATTAATTAACTACAAGTAGCTACCTCTTCGTAAGTTTGCCAAACGTATTGTTTGGTAAAGCGACATCTGTGGCCTAAAAATGGCCCATTATCTGTCAATTAAATAATAAATTAAAGTTGATTAGCTAGGCCAGAATATCTGAAAAACACAACATTCATGTATCCATATGATGCATTATTAATATTAAACTATGCTATCTACTACATTAGTCTAATCGAGAATTCAACTATTTGACCTAATCAATTTAATAAAATGAAAAACACTAAATAACAAAATTTATAGAAACAAATAAAAAGCACAGAAAAAAAACATTGATAAGAAAAATCTTACTGGAAACTCTCATGCCTCTGAGGAATGCATCATGAACAGTTAGCACATCGTCATAAAAGATTTTCACCAATTTTCCATCTTTTGATGTAGCACAGCAACGAACACCAGGCTAGGGTAATTAACATAATTTATTCAATGTTTATTAATAGATTTATTTGTTCATTCATTTATTTGTTTATTCATCAATATACTTGTTTGCTTGTTTGTTTAAAAAATAAAGCCTCACAAAAACGTTAAACACAAACAAAAATAGCAAAAAGTACACCAAAATTTTTAATAAATCTCATTTTAAACATTTACTTCTTAAACAAAAACATCAACTAATACACTAAAATTTGAGATAACAGATAAGCCACTAAAAAAACTAAATCACTCACCAAAAATGAAAAAACTAAAAAAAAACTAAATAAAATATTACTAAAAAAAAACAAAAACTTCGAAAACCTCAATTTCGATGGACTGCATTTTTAGTGGCTTAACATTTGCCTCCTTCTCTTTCCTGTACCTAAGGTACCACCAGGTGAAAAAAATGACTCCAAGTGACATGGAGACCATCAGAGGTAATGTCGTAATGTCGCCTGATTTTAACATTTCTGCCGGACTGGTACTTTTGCCCATTTATTAAAAAGTAAGTAAGACAGAAAATCAGTCTGTTTGGTAATAATGTATTTATGAAAACTATGAGTAAATAAAAAAAACTAAAAATGTATTTATGAAAAATATGAGTGAATAAGTGATATTATTCACATAAAAAAATTGAATTATGAAATAAATGACAAAAAATTAGTTTCTCCATTTTTAACTGCATACCATATACATACATTGATATTTAAAAAATATAAAAATATAATTGTTACTTGTATTTGTACCATAATTATGCATAATTTATTATACAATTGTTTT